GTCAAGTGTGAAAGTGATACTTTCCGTTGCTAACCTTTCACTCCCTCTTTCCATTCATTCATTCACTCATTCATTCCCAACTCAACCACTGATATCAGTGTTCCCGACGGCTTGAACACTAATAGCGTTCTAGGTCCTAGTTTATTGACTGGCTCTCCAGCGACCGTGCTCGCGTGTATGTGCTTCCCTGGTTTTGGCACACCCACAACTGCATGTACGCGGTTTCGTCCTTAAAGAAATTGAGACGTGACTTTTTTCATATCTGGCTTATTCGATGAAACAGAGACTCCCATTTTTATGTACACATGTGAGTCAGGCATGCAATTTGAGGCGTTTGCTATGCTTGGTTGGCAAAACACAAAACGGTCCAACAAATCACGATTGCACGTTTTTCTTTGTTCTACTGACATGATTCTAGACTGTATTCTGAAGCTCAACATTCAAATTTCGTCACCATTTTTTCAACTGTTGCGTGGGTACGTTGGCATGCAACTGAATGTATAGTTGCCCCTCCCCTTGGACAGGCTATCTTCCAAAGATATCGCTCTTAGTTTGCTTTTCGAGGCATTTTCCTCAGTAAACTTATCCCCAGAAGAGACCACAGCTGATCAGTTCCCTAAGGAGTATTTTCGGAGAGGAAAAACTATGATACCTTTTCTTTTTATCAGCATTGTTGCAATGTTGCAACTCGTGCCTCAGGGAAACGGTATTTGCAATATTCAACAAAACATTCAACGGAATGCAACTTAGCTGTAGCTAGATCGCAAAATGCTTATCGTCCAGCTATACCACCCTTCCGGTGCCTGACTCTCATTCCACCTGAAGAAAGTACGAGGGTTGGGATACTGCCAGATTGCCCAAGCCTAGACAGGGGAAGTCGAGAGGTGGAGGTCGGGTTCGAACCACGTACCTTCCGGCCAGTAAATTCGCGCTCTAACCACTTGGTCCATCTCGCAACATTATTCCTAACCCACATTCCTGTTCACAACGCCGTGAGAAATTACATCCTATTGGTATTCGAGGCTTGCATACTACCGATTGTCTGTCAATTCTGGTGCAAAATGATTGGAGTTGACCGAATAATGAGCAGTTATCATGCTTACTTCTCTGTCTCTGTGGATGAAACGTATATTGAAATTTGTTTTTTGGACCTGACTGTAGCCCGTCTATTAGCCTGGACGGTGAATTCCTGGCTGTGTTGTTGCGAAGGCAATGAACGTCTGACGCCTCAGTGATGTGTACTGCCATTGCCACTTTGAGACTTTTTCCTCGTAAGTTAGTAACTTCTCAACAACTCTGGTAGTGTGGATAAGCGTGCGGACAACCTTTTTCATATTTGTGATAATGCAACCTAAGCCAAACCAGTTAACCAAGGCCGTGATGATAATGCCTTATCAGTATACGGCTGGTCAATGCACTGCACTCTGTAGAGTCGTGCTCGAACACTGATAGCATAACTAAACGTTTGCGATTCTCAACACATGAGATTGAGTCGGATTTTAATGCACAGAGTATGCTTCCAAGTTGCCTGGTGTTAGTCTTCTCGGAATAGCTTCGGACATGCAGTTCCCTCCTTCTGAAGGAAGGTCAAATCTCATAAAATATCGTTTTCTGTTAGTTCCTTCGAGTTGTCCTTGAGGGAGAGTGTAAATTAAGATGGTTTCACTTGCTGTCTAAGCTGTGTACATTAACTCTCAAGACGAACGCCCCCAAAGTTAAGCCATCCCATCAGAGAGAGGCAAAATGCCTCCGTTCCTGGTGGCAGTCTTTTGGAGAGTACATATGAGTTCTCACCTGTTCGCAACCGTTGTCGTGACCGAATGCGGTAGCTCAAGGATGTGATACCCGGGCCAGAATTGCATCAACTGATGTGTTGTTGATCGACCGTGTGACACGTGTTAACCATGGTCTGCCAATAAGTGTTGGAATTATATGTCCAGCAAAAATATTATTACGTTACTGCACGGATGACAACTGTGCTAAACATACATACAGACGTGGTGGCTGGATAGGCGACCGAAAGGAATCCGCGTTTTGGGCTTGATGAAAGCTGTCCATTGTGTATAACTTTTCGGATTTCTATGCCAACAGGAGTTGTATTCCGAATTTCACTTTCTTTTTTCCGTGGATTTTATAACACCAGTTTCTTCCAACAAATGAGCACCGGTGCGCTGGCTTCGCCTTTTTCTCGTCGTGTCCCTTAACTACGCCCATCTACGAGTTACAAACTTCCTTCTGTTCTCCTTGTCAGACTGACTTGCTGATCCGTATCGAACCACATCTATTCGAATGGTTTGGTTGGTACAACTGCGTCCCACGAATGATGAGTCCACAGGACCTCCGGGCTTGTGGCTACCAAGTCGATGTGAACTACGAGCCGCTGTCCTCAACGAAAGACTTCGATCCCGGTGAAACAATATCCAACTATTATGACCGATCGGGTGGGCTGACCAAGCGACTTTTGGCTGTGCACAAATCAAAAGGTGAGGTGATGTGTGAGGGTGTCCCCGCACCTACTCAGAGTTTGTTTGACTGCATTGTTCTTCAAGATTCCGGACTTAAGTACGACCACACTGTCAATCCTGATTCCCACGTGTGTGTGTGAGATGGAGTGACAATAGATCGGACAACCTTGGGTGCACTATTTTATATGATTTACTACTATAGCTGTTGCTGAATTTGATTTGAAGGGTTCAAGTGTAATACTGTCAATAGTTGGAGAACGTTATTTGTTTATTAATACAGAATGGTCCATCGGACCAGCTCTACTAGGAAGCCGGGAAACACTACAGCTGTCTCATCGCGCGTTTGATGAATCGTTTGGGAGATTCAAACCCTCGACGACGCAAGCTAGCACTACGGCAACACTTCATGGTTTTTGACCGCTACGTTCGATGCAAACAGATTAGGAGATAGCCCATGACTAGTTTTTCCCTTCTTGGGGCTCATCAGGTAGGCGCAGTCCCCGAGTTTCCGTCGACCTTATGTTCTACTTGGTCTATCGTTAAAATCTAAAAGTGTTTGATGAACACCTACAACGAAGCTTGGAGTGAACTCTGTTACAAACGTCAAAACTGTAATCCCGAAAAGCCTTGCTCATCCTGGGATTTCTTACAACTATGGTCACTTACACTCGATATGGCATAGCAGCCGAAACCACTTGGCCATTTTTGATGCCATATGGGAAGAAGAAACTGAACAGCATGGATAAATAGGCTTATATGTTGTTTTCAAGATGAGCTATTGACATCGAACGTTTTAAAGTAGCGGAAAAACTTACACGATACTAATGGTTCTGCCGATTATCCGCTTGGCTAATTACTGAATCGCCCAAGGGATTCCTGAGCTACATGCTGTTGGTGATGACCACCAGGGATGAAACAGTTGTACAGGGATTCTGTACTCATCAGCGTTGATTGGCTCAAGATTTTCTCACTATCTACAAACTCTATAAAAGAAGAGAGGAACTGGATAGGTTCTCAAGTGAAATGCTCAAAGACATTCCACGCACGCGAATTGCCTGGGACAAGTCGGTCTACGAACATCGACTCATTAACAGAACACTGTGTCCCAACCTTTCTGGAGCAAATGTTATATTATGCTTCAGGCTTTCTTAAGTTCAAGGTCTCATGACCTGGGCATGACGATGCTTACCGTGGCTCCTCCTATCCAAGAATATTTATGGAAGCAAACCAAGGACACAATATAGAACCCTTTTTTACAAATGGATCCCCTGGTAAATTGAACCTTCAAAGAAATAAAGCTTTCTTTTCGAAAATTTGGAAAATCTTCAGTAGATTTCTTTTTCCTCTTGATTTGGGACCTTCGTACCATCAGGGTTATCCCAGCTTATCCGCATGAACTGCTCTATCTAAATCCTAAAACAATCGAAGTCTTGATTTCCAAATGCTCGCCTCTTTCCGGGAGAATCTTTGTAGATAAGAATTTTAACCATGTATTTCTAAATTGTGTGACGTTGGTGATGATCCAGAAGGAATGATGTGAATCGGCTTGGGTGCGTGACAAAGTCGTATTAGTTTGTACCTCCACGTGCAACGCAAAAACAGACATTTGTGACTTATTTTCAAGGTAAGGAAAAAGGAAGAGGTGCGCTATCCGATTCCAAGATAAGCTTACAATCGCAAAAGGGAGTAATTATGTTTCAGAAAGTCAGAATATGAATGGTATTGGAAAGTAAAAGCGGTTTGATATGAACATCAGTTATCTACTCGAAGACATTTTTGTCGTGGCACCACTTTTCCCATTGTCATCATTAGAGACAAGGTCACACCACCAGCAGTTACTATCCTCAAATGTTAAACGAAAATGTTTTAGGTGAACTCTAAGGATATGTACGGATTCTGGTGGAAAAGGATGGAAGACTTTGGCAGAAATAGTAGGATTTCACCGCCGCCCCTCCCGCATCTTCCTGTATGCAGTGAAAAATGCGCGGTAACTCATGCACTAGCTATTGAGCCCTCCTAGATTCTCCATGGATCAGCAGACAGGGGTCTTTCGTTGCATGATTTGTCTAATTAAAATTTGTTGCCTCAGTCCTGTTATCCAATCTAGTTGACCTATATGTGGTTTCATCATTGTCAGCTGTAATAACCGCGTGCTTGTCGTACACTGGTTGTAGCTGTAGCTGGCTCTAGCTCGGGGAGGTGGGTAGGTAGCTGCGCATTGGAGGCCGGAGCTGATAAACTAGTGCGTAAATACAGCACTGTCAGTAGACTGTGGGGGATTGGGAAGGGGGTTATGCATTGAAGGCAATAGCTTGGATGCTTGAGCGTGACTTAGGGCGCGGCTGGGCCATGTCTGACATTGTCTCTAACCATTGATACGCCCCAGTCTTCAACCACTTCGCCATTCAACGGAACAACGGCAAAGTGAAGTCGTCTGTAGAATTTTATGCGAATTTTTTTCCAGGCCCAATCGTACCATTGTGGTTAGATTGGTCGGTGGAAACGACACGCGCATGCTTAAATCACTACCGACCCTTAGTTATTCCGAAAACCGTTGCATTTTGTCACTTTTCCTAAGCTACAATGAGACAGCATTGTGGGACCGGAGGGTAAAAAGCTTACCCCGTTTAGTATGGGTGTGTATGGTATGTGTACATCGTCTGCTGTGAGCACTGCAGGCCCTAACGGAGATAACCCATCTGCTTTCTTATTCAGTTGTCCGAAAACTATCAAACTCTTGATGCTCAAACTTTTCTGATAAAAAGCTTCGACCTTTTTAAGCGATGGGGTTGTTTACTGGGTTCTTTTAGTCCGTAGTAAACGAGTTCAGGGACAAGACCCCGATCACCGAAAGCCGGTAAATGTGGTCTATTTGCTCAGTCTAAGGCGATTCGGGTACGCAATGTTCTTGGGCTGGTTTCGTCGTATAGTTCAGAACAGCTGCACCAAACTGGTAAATGTACCTGGTCATTCAGGTGCTGACCACAAACATTGCCATGTTATTCTTATTCACTTCTTGATACAACCAGACACAACGACACCCTCAAATAGCTCTAGGAAGATCACTTATCCAAGTGTGATGCTAAACAGTCTGGGTGAGGACATGACCTGCGTATTTGAAAAAAAACCTGGCGGATTTCGGCGCAGAGCACAGGGAGCGCGCACAAATCAGTGGAATGGGAAGTCGATAAGGCATGATACTTTGTTGGCTACGTTGTTTTTATGCCTGCCATCAAGTAAGTAAGAACCCAAATAAATGACGAATCCGCCGCATGGTGAGGGAATCTGGAAATTTGGAATGTACTTGTCGACTATTTAACCAGTGAAACCAGATAACGGCACAAAAAAGTTGGAAGGCTGTAGTCTGCTTGAATTTTGCTTTGACAACCTTGTTTAGATGAGTCAGATGCCACTCATCAAGGACATGCGCATTTGCAAAATGCGGCATGGGGTTTCAGCAGCACTACCAGTCCGTGTATCAAAATCCTAAAATTGTTTGATTAGTTGTGGCTTTGTGATGATTATTTCTCGCCAAAAAGTCCCATATTTACATCAAGGATGTGCAGTAGGTCTTCGGGTATCATATCAACGATAGTTTACTCCTTCGCAATTTCAAAATCTGTTCTGTGGGGTCCCCTAACACTTTATATTGTAGTTCGCTGTATCTCACAATCTTTCCGATTAGACATTTTGCCTCAACCACTGTCAGGCAAGCTAGTGACCCCGCCACCATCATTCAATCGTTGGATGTCAGTCGTTTCTTTCGGTTACTCGGTTTGAAATGGACTATTGTCCTATCTTTGTAATGTACTACTCATAAGGCTTCTGAAAATCCGTCGACAGCCCACGACCGGTTTCGCCCTTTTTGGGGCTCATCAGGTAGGCGCAGTCCCCTGGTTTCCGTCAACCTTATGTTCTACTTGTCTTGATAGAGGAATAAGTACTTAGACCAAGCTAAACAGACACAGTGATTCTACTTTAGAGAGAGGAAGAACACTCATCGGGCCGAACAAGATCTCTTTTCTTAATAGAACCTTCTATCCGTGGATGTGAATATGCGTAATAATTGACATCAAACCAGGGGTTTACTTGCGCGGTTGTTTTCTGAACTTTGCCGACCTTTTTTTCAGTCACACGGGCTAAATTCGCCAAAGCCAATTAACTAGAAACATTTTCACTTCTAGCATCGATCGCTGTTGTGTTGATAAAGTTGTGGTCGGATGGATTTACCGCATCATCTTTTCTGTAAGCTGAATCGATGGATACATAGAAACATACAGTGCATCACACTTCAGTGATCTCCTTGCCTTTCCTTTCGTACCTAGCCCACTCAGTCAGTCATTAGCTATTCTGCCTTGTGACTGCTTATTAGATAAACTACTTTGTGAACTCGGCCTATGTGGATGAAGAGAGCTCATCCAATCGGAACAAATTGCAAGATGCGATCGGTAATCCAGTACTGGCTTCCGGATGACCTAAGATCTGGGGCTTGTGGATCTTTCGGGTTGTTTAAACGCAACTGATTTGAGTCATCATCATCGACAGCATGACATCAGTGTTCAACGCCGATGCTTCACTGCCGTACAACCATGATTTATTTGAAAGCCTTATTGTAAAGAAAAGAGTAAAGGTGGACGGGGAAGGGACTTAGTGCTAGCTTACCTCAATCATTCCGAGGTGCCTATACCTCCATCACTAAAGTAGTCCGCAATGGAAGATATTTGCGTGATTGGATTTTAGCCGAACAGTCTGCTTTGAGACGTCCTCTCTTAAGAAGGCGTAATGGTATTAACATGGGGATCGAAGGAAATCGCTTTGTTGTATAGGAATCTTACTCCAAAAAGATTACTATGCATACGGCTGACGGTTTTGTAACCTTCATTCTTAGTTATATGAGTTCCTCATACTACTGTCATTTAACGCTTAAATTTCAGATACTTGCATGCTTATTGTAGCCCATGCATCTTCCTTGGATACGTGTACTCACGAGCTAGTTCGGCGCGGTTTTCGTACCACCATTTCTCCCGAGGAATTCCATCATCGCACTGCTAGCGTACCGTATTGTGCTCTCATCTTGGCTGAGGAGCACCGGCGTTGGACTCTAGTCGATCCCCCAATCCCGAACGTGTGTTCATACACCCCCAATTCAGATTTTGACTGGAAACAGCTTATAGGCACCACCCTTTGTGGATTTGGTATTCGGTGACCCCGGTTATTTTCTTATATGTTGGTTCATTATCCGACCCGCGGCCTTGCCGCTTCATCTTGTGCGCCTTACCAAAGCTTCTGTTGTTCCATTTACCTTGTACTCCTTGACGCTCACAGCCACCACCGCATTTTGTTCGTTCACGCTTCCTTCATCCGTCACCCATCAGCTGACGGTCTCTCACTTCCATTTTCACCCATAATCTTTATTCGTCGCTCTCCTTCTACCGTCTGAACCGTGCTGCCGCGTCTCGCCCCAACTAACACAACCCGTAGAGCAACCAACAACCCATTTATGATACCGGTTTGAGATGTCTCCTTTAACCTTCATAATTATCTGTCTATGTTTATACCCATCCATTCACTTCTGGAGGTGGTTTTCGTTTATACTCATCGTCGCCCACCAACCAACACATCAGAAGTTCAGATTATTTAACTTCGTCAACTGGACACTAGGATATGTTTTGTTATGTCTTCCCGCTGTTTTCTCGCTCCTTGTTACGCGTACCGCTTTGGTGCGCAATTCACCCGCCTGTCTGACTAACGTGGTTTTCGGCACTGCATTGACTGCTTGTCCTCAGGTTTTTCGGGCCTATCATGTATATATCTAGACCGTTTTCATCACAATCCTCATGTGTACTTCCTCGTGCTGCTTGATTCTTTCCCCCCTCGCAATCCGTTCTTGTTTCTCCAATTATCCGGTCTTTTCGTATGGATTTTTCAGTGATTGTCCGAGTGTGTTGGGCTATTTTTATTTTCGAAAAAATTTTTGGAGAGATTTATGCTTGCCTGTTTTTCTCGGTTGGTCGCTTAGTTGAAACTGTCAGCGGTTGTTTTGGACTGTGAGGGAGATGCGTAGTGCCTAAGCATCATAGGCCTTGACAGCAACATCAGTATGGAGGCACTGGTGCCTATCTATGCCCATACAAAACCTTTCTCTGCTGAGGTGTGATCCGAACTGCTATCCAGTCAGGACGGCAATGAGCAACAGGGTAAAAATCTGGTCGGATCTGGTAAAGCCGAGCCACATGAATAATCTCTTTCTTGTATAAACTTATCAGATGGGTGTCAAGGAATCGGGCATATAACCCTGCGATAAATAGTTTCAGGTTGTTGCTTCTACGGACAGCCATTTATTGTGGTTGGTTTGTCTGATTCTGGGTGGGATTCTCGGTTTAACCAGCCTAATTCAGGCAATCAAATGACTACTGTTGACTACCCACATTTGTTCGTACGTTCAACTTGAACATTTGGTTCTATTCCAACTCCAAGGCCTGGCTGTCGGTTTTCCTCCGAGGCAAAACGCTCTGACAACTCATCTAAGGACTAGTGATTACCTGAATTGGTCAACAGCTAGTCCGACTAACAGTCACATCTGACATCATTGATGCTCTTTCGACTGCGTTTGATTTTGCCGCCTCGCTGCTTCTGCCAGTAAGGGCTTATCAGCTTAAACAGGGGCGCGGATCTAGCCACTGTTTAGCAATTAGCGGCTTCCGGTAGATCCGGTAGCTCTGCGTCAGCTATCAGAAGTTACGGTGCGTTTTTCAAATCAGAATCAGACCAATTTTTCTGTTTGTTGATTAACTGTTTTCGTTTGATATGATCGTGATTCGAAGGCTTAGAAAAGAGATGACTGGTCCACGAAAAACTGGACAGCACAGTGCCACTCGTCCTCCTCAGACCGTCTGTTGCTTCCACGCTATTAAGTCGTTGTTATCATCATCAGCGTGGTGCAACAAGTCTTAGGTGTGAACTCACGTAACTGTGTGCCAGATGACAGTTTGACACTGAAAAGTGACGTCTAATTGGTGTTAAAAAGTGGACATATTCGCAAGTGGTCCGATTTATGACCTGACTCTCTAAAGGGAGCCATATATCGTCATCAGCTTTCCTACATGGAAGGCTTGATCTGCTACTTCGAATGACATCAAATAGGTGGCGATTAATTACCGAGGTGGTTGATAAAAGTAATCCAGATGTGATAATCTCATCGTTTTTTTGTGTTAAACTAGTTGGTTGGCAGTCGTGGGTTCGATTCGACAAAGGATCGAAGTGTACAAGACCGACCCCTCCCATATCCTTGAATCTTAGACTGTAACACAGGGACGTATCGATCGGGAACGTAGCCGTATCCAGTCTGTTACTGATGGCCTCACAAACGGTTCGTTAGTTAACCGAAAGTGTACACGATGAAAACAGCGTTCTGTTTTATGACTCACTCTGTATTGGACCCACGAGTGCGAGCACGCTCTCAACTTTGAATGTCTTGGCTCTACCATCCTTGCCACTCGTCGGACAGAATCGAATGGAATCGTCTGTTGCTGACATCACTGCAAATACGAAAACATTATCGAAAAGAACAGGACAAGCTCAGTCGTGTGCAGCCCTAAGTCTCATTCAAGTATTTTCTGGAGGGCATATGACCGCATTGAGCAAACGACATCCGAAAAGTACCTGGTTGGACCATTCATACTTCAGACATTCAGCGGTCTCATCCACAATAACCGTGTCAACAAAATCATCTCTGAAATCTTCAGGCAAACGTGTTCCGTTGTTACACCGAGGTAGTATGTCTTGCGTATCGCTTAAAAATATACAGCAGCCCCATAAGGGCAGAAACGAATCAACTTCCTCCGGTTTGAGGGACTTGGTATCTGCCGTATCTGGACGTGTAAAGCTTTTCGCTGTCGTGACTTCTTCAGACACTCATGAACGAGGACCCTGTCAGACAGCCTGAAGCGATAAATGAGACTTCACTTTTGTGACTATAAGATAGAGTAACTCTGATTTCTGTGATTTAACAAGGACTAATGCAGTACAAGCGGTCCTGAGTCATTTCCCATACTTCATCAAGCGTAGCTCGTTACGACGTGTTTGTAGGAGAGCATGCGAAACTAAAGTGGCAGCATCTTTGTTCCGACATGTCTCGTGAGCAACGTTCGACTAGATCTTCGAAGATTTCAACCAGAAAGATTAGGTTAGCAACTAAGCATCCGAGAGGATCGTACAGTATTGATTGGGATGCTGGAAATGCTTTTGATCACATTTTTAAACTCACGAGAAATGCCATGAGTGAAGGATCGAACGCCTCATCTTAAACGCGTAGTTGATTCAACGTGAGTTCCGATGATTTCAGTGTGCTAGCGACCTTCATTCCGTGAGATGTGCGCAGTGCTTCACTCAAATGGCGTTGGGAGACATCAGCTGTGATTTCATTGGACAGGAGTGTGGTGAATCAGCTGTGAAATTCAGTTGCATAGGTGTGATGGTTCCCTAGCCCTCGGTCAGCAGAACAACTGGCTGGCAACCGTGGTCCGAGTCCGTCCCAAGGAATGCCTTTGTGTGACGTCCGTACAAAAAGTACAGCAGGTGCAAAACACTCATGAACTTGACGTGCCTTCTCCATTTTCTGAAGAAAGTTTACTTATATCTGGGACTAGTGCTGATTCATTGTTCACTAGAACCTTCATGTTTTCGCGACATCCTATTCCGGTCGACAACACGAGTTAGGCAAACCACGAGTGACATGAAGTTCGAAACCCTTTTGGGCGGTGATGATGTCGAGCCCAACAACCTCAAGGTGTGAACTAGAGCAAACAGCCTTGACATCGCTGATCATTCTGATAGCTCCTTCGATTTCGGAAGCACTAGCTACATAAACGCATCAGTCAGAAGTCGCTCATTCGTTCACAATTTCGAACAAAACCGGTTTTCATTAGCTCATGTTTACCTCAGCTCACACCGTTCCACTAAGCCCACTGACATGCCGGCCTAGCACTTTTGCCCCCCCCCCTCCTGTAGTCAGAAGTTCATCGATCCGAGCATGCACATGCATCACCGCCACTTGCCGATGCGCAGTCCCAGCGCGAGAAACAAACCTCAGTAAATCAGTCCACTGTAACAATCGACTGACCGAAAAACCTTATTTGGGCTTGGTTTCCGCTGAATGACTCATGTCCTCTTAAAAAATAGCCGCAAGGGCTTGATACAACATGTACCTCAGCATATCGAACGCCTGGACACCTTGGCCGTATCCCAGCCCTCGTGCCTCCTTCCATTGGCATGGCAGCCAGGCACCGAAGGGGTGCTACAGCTGGATGATTTTCTAAGTACACGGCATTTTTGCGACTTGTGCCCTCGATTATTAAAGCCGAGTATATCAAATGGTGTGCTTATGATGACTTATCGACTGGGTGAATCGATTGGCGCCACCGAATCGCGTTTGGACACCGTTGAAAAGCGAGATGTGTAGCCTGGGCAACAAGGGGCTTGTGCACTAAGGCAACTATCAACATGACAGATAAAGACGGGGATGGAGGCTTCGCGCAATTATTTTGAGCTCTGTTGTAGAAACACTCGAGGAGTGATTTCACACCTACGCAAGTCATACCTGGGCTTAAACTACCTGTTATCAACCCAAATAGCTCACTTCAGCAGGGAACGTGGTGGACTCGTTCGCAAGATGTTTTTTCGTGATGGGCTTATCTATTAATGTACTCGTTTTTCAAAGCTGTTCCGCATTAACCCGAGAATCAAATCGTCCGCCCAACGACTTACTCTCAGCCCTCACGGCCCAGACAAGCCCCTTGGACCGGCTTCAACTTTCTTCGCCTCTTGGTAGACCAACATTTTACGGTGCAGACTGACTGTGTGAGTCAACTATAGTGGTGTACTTGAGGGCCTCTTGTGGCCTCTTATGCACTGAGGAGATTAGGGATACACCGAAATTAGCTGATTCATTGCGTCGCGGAAAACCAAACGGAACCATGGTATGACATCAGCAACAGTGTAGCTTCACTGTTGGCGTCAAAAAGTCAATTCAAACCTACGGTTGCCCACGTTTGCCGAACAGTATGCACCAGACGAGCGTCATCCTCCCTTGAGATGGTCGGATGAGCATGTACTGTCTAATATGTGAAAGTACATACAGGCTTACGACACTGAATACGTGAGCAGCAAGATGAATCGTTTTTTTCTGGCACTTGACGATCTGTTTTAGACAGTAATCCGGTGTGGGTAGCACGGTTACGATGGCGACGGGTCTCTGCGGTAGTCCAATGTAATTTTCGATGAGGTAGGACTAGTAACGGAAAGTCACGTTTTGGAACCCCTGGAGAAACATTGATGTACCGGTAGAGCAGAAAACAGCCACGCGTCTCTATGGTGGGAATTGTTTGTGCGAGGTGTCGCACGAAGTGGATAGAATTTTCGAGGGAATATGCGGATAACATGTCGGCAGTGTACCAATGAAAAATATGTACCACAAGGTCGCAGAATCGATGAAATGGAAGGTTTGTTAATCTGCATCATTTGTAGCCATTGCAGTTGGACAATCCGGAAAGTTGGCAGATTTTTTGTGCTGGTTCTTACAATGCAAAGGCGCATTTCCACCCTGTCAGACTTCGAGACCGGTTTGCACCTGATTGACAAGCTTTACGCATCTGGGTTTGTGGCCCATTCAAGCCATATAGCTACATGTATCTTCATGTTAAACATAAGACTGGGTTGCGAGACATAACACACTTCCCGTAAGGTTACTGAAAACGCCTCGACAGCTCACGACCGGTTTCGCCCTTCTTCGAGCTTATCAGGTGAGCGCTATCCCCGAGTTTCTGTCCACCTTAGGTTCTAATTGAGCCCAAATTGCACGAAATTAGCGAATATACACTCATTTGCAAACTAATCTGGTTTTTCGAGAGACTCACCTGGAACCCAGCTGAATCTCTTGTTTGTGATGTCTCCAGGCAACTGAATGTGGTGCACCAGGCC